GTGTCTCTCCATTCCTTAGCAGAGAATACAGCATGTCAGTACCAATGCAATTAAGGAAGCAGATTGATAACTATCCTAGAAATCTATTACTATTTACTTGTCATGTGTTAATATTTCATTTTCGCCACAGCTGAAATTGCAAATGAGGCTTAGTAGGCAAATGCTGTGACTCATCTTAGGCAGCCTGACAGTCACAATACATCAAATGCATGGCTTGCGATTAAATGAAACAGAAGGATGTTAGCCTATTGACATTTTAATCTACTAATGGTTTACTTTTAAGAAATCACCAGTAGCTAAACAGCAGAAGGAAAGGGAATGGATGTGTTTCAGTTGCATGAGAGCTAAGTCCCTCTGCATTATCACAGTCAATTAAAACCCTCTCCAGTTTATCCCCAGGACATTGGCAGATTACAAGGACATACATGGAGCTCTTACGCCTGATTTGAATTCACCAGGGCCGCTTTCAAACTTTGTGATGATGCGATGTTCACCATGGAGTGGGCTACAGGAAGGAGACATGCTTGTTGAAACTGAGATGCATATATATACAAAGAAACTTTTCTCGCACTGTGTCTGGTGTTTTGGCTTGCCTTTGCCAGATCATCTCTCAACTGTGGGAAGCAGCTATGGTTTCCTTTAAAATCCTGAGCTTGGAAAGTTACTTTTTAAAAGAATGAAATCAAGCAATCAGTGAATGTGTTAATTAAACATTCTGTCTTTCCTCCAACACAAGGACCCAGTCATTAAAATACAGAAACAGCTGAACTCCAAAAGTTGCAATGTTGCAACACAATTGAACAAATTATCAGAACAGCCACTGGGTTAAAACAATTCAAACAATTAAAAAGCATATAAGAGGAAAAGGAAAGCAAACAAACAAAACTAGCAAAAAAACCCCCCCTTCAACAACATTTGCTGAAACCATTCACAACTGAACAATGGTGGGATGATATTCTACTTTCTGCATGTCAGCTTTCCACAGCTTAGTTGTGGGTGGCTTTGTCAAATAATTATATTAGTTTATCTTAACGATAACTTCCGAACAGGATGTGCATCAGCTCTCTTTGCCCACATGTCTATGTCTGAATAAAGGTGTATAGATAGGTGTCTGACCTCCACTCCATGTCTTTTTGGTGATACTCTCATCTGATCCTTGCTCAAGTCCATAATAGTATTCATGCACTTCTGGATCTGCTGTTGGGGGTGACCTAGGGTGAGACAGAGCTCTATTAGTATCAATTGGTATGTGGAAGCTTAAACATTCTGTCTTTCCTCCAACACAAGGACCCAGTCATTAAAATACAGAAACAGCTGAACTCCAAAAGTTGCAATGTTGCAACACAATTGAACAAATTATCAGAACAGCCACTGGGTTAAAACAATTCAAACAATTAAAAAGCATATAAGAGGAAAAGGAAAGCAAACAAACAAAACTAGCAAAAAAAAAACAAAACCCGTCAACAACATTTGCTGAAACCATTCACAACTGAACAATGGTGGGATGATATTCTACTTTCTGCATGTCAGCTTTCCACAGCTTAGTTGTGGGTGGCTTTGTCAAATAATTATATTAGTTTATCTTAACGATAACTTCCGAACAGGATGTGCATCAGCTCTCTTTGCCCACATGTCTATGTCTGAATAAAGGTGTATAGATAGGTGTCTGACCTCCACTCCATGTCTTTTTGGTGATACTCTCATCTGATCCTTGCTCAAGTCCATAATAGTATTCATGCACTTCTGGATCTGCTGTTGGGGGTGACCTAGGGTGAGACAGAGCTCTATTAGTATCAATTATGTGGAAGTCAAGGAGATTTTGCTTTTACCCACAGGCATTCTTATAGCAACTGTGCAGTTAAGCAATGGGCATGACCAACAACTCCGCTCTGCTTATAGCAACTGTGCAGTTAAGCAATGGGATTTGCACCACCGTAAAAAAGAAACCAAGTGGCTCTCGGAAGAAAGAGAGAACACTGCTCACTAATTCTGACATACCCAGTCAAAGCCTATATATATTATTTTATTTAAGACTTCCCAACAGGATACAAGAGGAATGCAGACATTCATACACACACTCTCACAATCCTAGTAGTAAAATACGCTGAGTAAACTAATTCAGGTAGATAAAGCAGGAAAAAAAATCTAGAACACAAATCCCAGCTATCAATGATGACTCAGGACTTTTACTTCATCTGACATCCATAGAAAATGGCTGGGGGTGAGTGGGTGGTTTCAAGGGAGTACGTGGCATACAGTGACATCACTTTGAGCTCCCTCCCTTGTGGCTCCGTAATTAGAGAATTTAGAGGAGACTTGAGGTTTGGTGTAGTGATGAGGTTTACTATCATTTTTCTCCTGCTTTCCATTTCCTCAGTTCAAATCAGAGTGTGTTTTTTTTAAAAGAAATTAAAAACATAAACTCCAAACATGCTGGATGGAATCCAAAGGATTCACACTGGCTTTGCTCTGCCCCGTGTATGACCAACAACTCCGCTTTACCCTGCAGTCACTCTGGAGTGACACAAAGCCCCCCCTTTTTTTCTTATTTCACACATATCTCCCAAGACAGCATACATCCCCACTTTCCAAGCTATGCATCTAATTACAGTACATTATATCTATAGGAGAAATGTGTATTTTATTTTATTTTTAAAATCCTTTTTATTTTAAGTTAGGGATAGGGTAAAGGGTACAGGGGGTAAAGGGGATAAAAAAAGGGGAAAAAGGAGAACAAGTATACTCTCATCAAATCTTGTTCGTTACAATGTCTAGTCAACTTTCCACCTTTCTATAGTTTTATTGCCCCTCTAGATTTATACTTACAGTTGCCTCTTAGTTTAATTCTATGTTTATCCAGTTCTATCTACTGACTCAAACATTTGTATAGTAAATCCCATTGTTCAGTTGCCTTGGACAAATGTGTATTTTCTAATGGTATATAGTTTAGTACATTTAGATCTATCTGTTCCTTTTTTTGGACACTGTTCAAAAACCCCACCTTTTTTTAACATAGCCTGCCACAGCCTATGTTCCATTGTGATATTTAAGATCAATCAGATGTGCCCTTGATGCTGAAGGGTTAATCTGTTATATCCATTGCATGAATAAAATCTAGTGACTGGTTCATATAATGAACCCCAGAGCGTATGTTTCAATTTCTCACAGAGAGCTTAATCTCCACTTAGGAAATAGTGCATCTGTTCTAACATATTGTTTATAAAGCTGGGGGTTTTAGGCAGGAGAGGGTTAAAGGGGCCAGGAGGGTAACAATGAATTTTCAGTTAAAGAATTGTATCAAGAGAACCATTCTTTGAACTCCAAAAATCTATGAGTTCAGTAATAGGGTTAAGATTGTCTTGCATTCACCTCTTACCAAATTTCCACTTGTGAAATTAATCTCACATAGTTGAGAGCAGTTACTTTTCAGTGTTTGCACTTATCAGGATTTTCTGGTGTGGTTGTTTTATCAAAAGCAGAAGCACAACACACAAAATGCACATGTTAAGGAAGAGGCACAAAGCCTGTATTGTGAGAAAGTGATGCATATTGCGTATATTGTTCACAAGTGTGTATACCATATTTTACCGTGTATAAAATTACACTTTTCCCTAAATTAATTAGAGGAGACATTGAGTGTCTTTTTATACGTGGAAGGAAGCAGTCATGTGCACCCTCGGGCATCTCCTGCTGCCGCTGCCCAATTGCCTCTTCCAGAGCTCACGGCTTGTCCCCTCTGGTGGCTCTGAGGCAGCAGCAGCAGGAGGAGGCGGAGACAGAGGTGAACAAGCATTCACACACGCTTGGGCGCCTCTTGCTGCTGCCTCTTCCACCCACCCGGACACCATCTCCAGTGGGGCTCAGCTCACCTCGGTGCCTTGTCCCCTCCGATGGTGGAGGCAGGAGGAGGTGGAGGCGGAGGCAAACAAGCACTCTCTCATGCTCGGGTGCCTCTTCCTGCATCGCCAGATCACCTCCTTAGGGCAAGGGACAAGGCCGTGATGTGAGCTGGAGGTGATCTCCAGCAGTCGCACTGGAGGAGGTAATCGGGTGGGCAACGGAGACAGCAGCACCAGCAGGAGACGGAGGTGGAGGAGCAGTTGCCCATTAACTTTAACTGCTCCTCCGCCTCCATCAAGGATCAAAATTAAGGAGCCATTTTATACATTGTGGGGTCGTATACACTGTAAAATATGGTAACTTATGCATTAATAAGGTAAAGGTAAAGGTTCCCCTTGACATTTGGTCCAGTCATGTTCGACTCTAGGGCTCGGTGCTCATCCCCCTCTCAAAGCCGTAAGAGCCAGCATTTGTCCGAATACAGTTTCCGTGGTCACGTTGCCAGCGTGACTAGACATGGAATGCCGTTACCTTCCCACCGTGGTGGTGCCTATTTATCTACTCGTATTTGCATGCTTTCGGACTGCTAGGTTGGCAGGAGCTGGGACAAGCGACGGAAGCTCATTCCGTTGCGTGGATTCGATCTTATGACTGCTGGTCTTCTGACCTTGCAGCACAGAGGCTTCTGCGGTTTAACCCACAGCGCCATCACGTCCCACATGCATTAGTAAAGAAATACACAAAAAGCATTATATTAGGGAAAGCTGCTTCCAAAAGTTAGTAGATCAAACAATTACATTCAAGCTGTGTATGTTAGGAGAAAAAATGCTGAATAAATTATTTGTGCAATCTTTTTTGAAAAGTTGCAAATGGATTTGGAAAGAACTGAAAACCAGGAAACAATGAGAAAACTGAGACAGACCAACATTATCTGATTTGTCTGTCTGTGCTCAATACTCAGCTAGAAGTTACATTTGGACATGTGGAGGAAAATGGTAATCTCTGTGGGCATCATAGCCACCCTTGCTTCTTTCTCTCCATCTCTTCCTCTTTCCTTCCTTCTGTTCAGTGTCCCCATTGGCTTCTGACTAGACTGCACTGTAATTTCAAACATTAGCTGAATTACTCCAGTTTTAAAAAACTTGTTACTGTCTTTTCAGGGCTTTGCACAATATTCTGTCCTTTTTTATGGATATTACAATAACCAGAGAACAATTGGCTGGTTGAAGTTCCGGATGCCTCTCTCCTACTTTTTGGTTGGAGTCGGGAGCATTGCTTACAGCTTCATGGTTGTCATACGCACGTAAGTCTCTGCTGATTGGAAGGTATTTTGGAAATGTATTGACTGATAGATCTGTGCTTGTACTTCTTTCTATTATTGAGTACATTTATACACTATATTTTCTCCATGGCGCTCAGTAGCACTCATGATTTCGGCCCCACCCACCCATTTGATCCTTACAAACAACTCTGCGAAGTTGATTAGACTAAGAGATGATGACGAGCCCAAAATTGCCCAGAAAGCTTCATAGTTAAGTGTGAATTTAAACTTGAAACTCTAGTCAAAGATTCCGACTCTAACAGCTGTGTCGCATTGAATTTATTCTTCCTGAATCATCTCTGAAACTACAGGCAAT